CAACATTCTTTTCATACCAAATCCCATACTGAATCCAAAACACAGTGCTGTTGTAGCTACTAAGAAGAAAATTAGCTCTATCCCAGTGGAAAACAGGACATTCACTATAATTTCTTTTTGCCCATTAAGCCAGACATTACTCATTGTAAAATACTTGTGCATTTAATTTTTCCAGTCTAAGCACAATAGTTCGTGCTTTTATTTACTGCACTTGTCAGAACTCCAGACTGTTTTCTCCAACTGGTGAAGATAATTTTGGACTGCAATCCTAAACTTGCCACCTTCCACAAAGTGCCTGCCACCTTCCATCTAGGTGCCATCCACAAACCTGGTATATGTACTCTCTATTCTGTCAGTCACATTGCTAATGAAAATTTAGCGTAGCAGCAAGCACAGAACAGACTCCTGCAGATCCTGACTTGTAGTGATCTTTTATTTTGACAGGAAACCATCAGCAATTACTCTCAGCAGAGTTTTTCAATCTGTTGTGCAACCAACTTTTAACAATTTCACCTGGACCATATTCGCCTACTTTACAAGACTGTCACATAGGACTGTATCAACCCTTATTAAAGCCAAAATACATCACATCTATTTATTCCCTATTATCCATTAGACCAATTACCCTGTCAAAGGAGAAAATTAGATTGGTCTGACATGATTTGTTCTTGACAAATTCATGTTGGCTGTTTCTTATCACCTTATTATCCCCCAGGTGCTTACAAATTGATACTTTAATCATTTGTTCTAGATAACAAGCATAACCTAAATAGGATATAAGTTCTCTAGTCCTGCATGAAAGTTAGAACCATAGTAAAATACTGTGGTGCTATATTGCATCCTCATCCTCCAAAAAAATCCTTCACTATGCTTTTACCAGAACAGCACTTTTTAAAGCCTGACAACTTCATACAATTGAACAATATATGGATTCAGTGGTACCTTTGCTTTATATAGATGGAGAAAAACAAAGTAAAAATACCCCAACAAATAAGAACTCCATGATGAGCATTCAGCTCGTGATTTTCAGGAGAATATTACTATTGTTGCTACTTAAGTCAAACAATAATTTCTGGCTAACATATTTGGAAATATTTTTACAGTGTATCATAACAGAATTCAAGTTCTGTGAGTTCATAAAAATGCTGCCCAATCATTCTCTAAAGGCAAGCTGGATTATCACTCAGCCATCTGCATTAAACAGGAGAGAAGAGAAAGAAAGAATCCCTTTGCAAGAATTGACTGTTAACAGACACTGTCACTATCTTGATCAAATGATGAAATTAGAAATGTAGGCAAATGAAGATCAAATCAGTAAGACAGGTGACCAAAAAATGAGGGAAATTTAGTAAGCTTTTTTTTTCCAAGCAATGGGATTGGGTTTTTAAAATTTTATTTTATTATTTTTGTTGTTGTTGCTAGTTTTTTTAGTGAGTGCTTATGTTAGCAGAGAAATTACTCCTACAACTACCTGTAGGCACATGAATTGTCCTACTGAAGTCAGCTGAACTTCATTTTGCAGGGTGCTTTTAGCAGATGTTTAACGTTTACTACAAAGCATGTATTTACAGATCTTCTGAACTAGTGCAATAGCCCTCAGCAGTTGCCAAATCTAAATGGCAACTCACACACTTACAGCTAAGCACATACTTAAATGTTTTGCCCTGTATTGGATGTACAAAGTGAATGTAAGTTATACAAAGATCTCTTTCAATGCCTGCCCCTGACCAAAAAAAAAAAAAGTGCACTGTTTGAAGTAGACTTCACAGAATCTACCTCTGCTGTTCTAATGTCAGAACCTACCTCTGCTGTCCTAATGTTTTTTCTCAGAATGGACAGGCTTTGGTTCCTTGCTCATTCCTCCCTTTCCTTGTATGAGAAGATTTATTTTACAAAGAAATACTGAACACACAGCTGTCATGAAGATTTATAGATAACTCCTTTAGAAAGAAGCTAAACGATTTTAGACTATTGTACTGCCTTTTCTCATTTTTTCTTTGAAATGTAATTTTGATACCATGTAACCAGAAAAAAAGCTCTTCTGCTCTGAAACAAATCTGTATCAAAGGGAAATATACTGTATTCTCTGCAAAAATGAAAAATCTCAGACCAGTTTTATTGTAAACATTTTCATAATACTGTCATGCAGTAGGTAAATGGGATTTCTATTCATTACTCTCTGATAAATCCTATCTCTAGCATCTAAAAATAAAGACATATTGGCAGAAGAGTCACAAAGCCCTAAATTTCTGAACAGAAAAGCTATTTAGTGTTGTTATGATTTTAAATCATATTCATCAAAATATGATGAAAATGAAAGGCAGAAATATTCAGTAAATGAAAACTATTTCATAATAATAAGAGAAAAATTACAATGTGTGCTTGCCATTCATATAGTAGAGTTATCAAAAAATGCTAGTTAATAGCTCTTTTTCTTCAAAGCAATCTTTCCTTTAAGTCTCAACATTAAATCTTTAGTTCAGCACATTTTTGCTTCAAAAATGGGTGGACATTCAGAACTACCCAAGCAACAGAGCAACTTAGTTCTGCCTATTCCCCTCACATTGCAGAAGAGCATTTCTAAACTGCAGTGGAACTCTGACTACTTATTATTTCTTGAAAAGCCTCAGCAGAGCACCTTGTGACTTTCAGCAATAATAACTACATGCACTGGAATGAGAAGAGAGCCTTATAAAAATATCCACAAATCTCTTCTGTGTGGTAGGGGAAAGGAGGAGAGATACCATCCCAGGTTAATCACTGGGAAGCATTTGTATCATAATCTCTCCATCAATCAGCAATACTGGGGTTACTTTAAAAATTAGGTTAATATTAGAAGTGGAAAGTGAAAGATACTTATCAAGAAGGTCTCTCCATTCCATAAAGTTAATGATATTGATCTACTTTGAGAGAAGAGAGCATTAAGAACAACATTCTACTGAACAGTGTTGACAAACTGGAGTTCAAGCCTCTATCACTTGAAGATGTGAAGGGATAACTAAATATCTGCTTAACAGCTTTTCTTCCAAGAGTTTGCTGTGAACAGTCTAAATTAATAGATTTCTTCTGAAACCAGGGGTTTTTTTTGGACACTGTAGATGACTCTGAAAAACACTACTGCTTTTTCTCCCTCTTTTTGGAATCCTTTCTAAAAGCAGCAGAAAATGAACTGTATGGAAGCATACTAGTGCCCTGAGTAAGAAGTATCAGTGTCCACTGATATTTTGTTTGCTTCTGTGTAGAAGAATTTTTATTTCAAACAATTTATTCTTGAAAATGCCAATCTGAGTTGTACATCTGTTAATGACTAAGTCATTTTAATGATGTGTTCATCCTCTCTTTTGTCTAGATCTTTTTGCAGACTAACAAGTGGTATAACCCTCTTTGAAAAGAGGTGTTTCACTTCGGTATGTAACATCAAAGTTTTTGATGTCTCTTTCAGCAATATACTATGAATGATTCAGTGTGACATGTCTTTTCCCAAGACAAAGCTGAAAATTATGAGTGATGAGCTGAGCTGCTCAGTCACTGGGATCCACTCTGGCCCAGGAGTCTCTATCATTTCCTCCCCATGTATGGCTCAGTATCCACAGTCCTAATTCGAGCATCTGGCTTCTAAAAGGAAGAGCCTAATTTGACTCTTCTATTTTTATCTGTGAGGGACACAACAGCTCCAGACAATGTATTACCCTTCCTTGCACCACTGTCTGAGAATGATGTCAATGTTATAAGAGAAAGGTGTCCATTCAGCCCATCAACTAGAAAACTTGGAGTCATCAGTGAAAGTAAGTACACAATACTGAGCAGTCTAGAAATGGTGACTGAGATCTTATTAAAATTCTTTCTAAGAAATAAAAAGCTGAGGGGAATGAAGAGAGCTGCATTATTTTCATCCCGAGGTGGCCAAACCTTAAAACAAAGCTTCAAGTTTCAATTTAAATTTTTGACAAGTTCATGGCTCTGACAAATAATTGACAAACTAAAAAGAGGTACAAAGTGTACATAAACAGCTGCCTGCAAAGAAGCTGCAGTGCACAAGAACTATTCAATTTTTTTCATATGACTAGCACAAGGAAGAAACTTCATGGACATTTTTGGGTTAGACTTTAAATTCAAACATTTTTATTCTACCAGAAGTAGCTTCCATATTTAAATTAGGAAAACAGGTAGTAACTGAAAGACATTTGGTAGGGGGAGACAAGTTTTGACCAGTGATACCCATGTCAAGAAACTTCTTGGAGAAACTAGAATAGCAAAAGAAAATATAGTGTACTGTGTCAGGTTTTGTCTGCACATGTAATGATCCTGGAGAAGGACCTAAAGGAGTTAATTTCTAAGAGGCTTTTCTGTGACAGAACAGGTATTCTTTGACAAGGAGAACTACAGAACAGCTTCCCTGGTTAATTATTGGGGATGAGTTTCTTCTGTATATTAGAGATCATCTCCATTTCAGCTTGCTCCACTTCATTGTTGGAAGAGTGTGAGGGTGTAAGGTAGGAGCCATTGACAAAAAAATCACCTGCTTTGCTTGTACAAGAAAAAGTTTATACTGGCAGGACAGGAACTTTAAAATACAGTTCTGGCTAGCAGAGATATTGTAAGGACAGAAAAAGGAATGTAGATCCACAAGGACTGTAAGTATATCTGAATAACTCCTAACATTTACAGGCTGCAAGGGAAAGCAAAGATAATCAGGACTGGTAGAAGAATTAGGACCCAGCAAATATTTCAGCCTTATAAGCAGTAATGGATTAATCTATTTTCCTATTTACACTGTGCAGCACAACTGAAGTTGATGAGCTTGCAGGGATATATCCGCAGGGAAAATCTGTCCGGGTGTTTAAATGCTATCAAATAATTGTGTTTATTTGAAGCATCCTACAGCTGCTGAACCACAAACTGAAATCACAACGTTTCATTTAGGTTCAATTTATGCAAATTATGGCACATCCTAGAAGATAAGTACATATTTCTAATCTGATACAAAATGATCAACTTACATCAGAATTAAATCTCAGCTGGCAAATGTTGCATGATATGATTTGCTTTCTTCGATGAGGAAGAGGAACCCCAAATGTATGATTTATTACAGCTTTTTGAATTGGGTCCATCTGTAAAGAGAGAAGAAAAAGAAAAATAAAAGCTTTTGCTGTTCCACTGTATGCTATGTTTTCTATAGTCTCAAAACAGATTCTGCATCATGCCATGCCATACCCCACACTACAGAAAAACTATTATTTTCTCTGAAAATTAGTATTTCTTCTTCATACAGTTTTACAAAAAAGTAATACAGAAAGGAACAAAGTGTCATTAGCTATCTTAAAATACATATCCTTAGTTCAATTCTATATGCACCAATCTCTCTTTACTGAAGAGACCTAAAAGCAGTAAATGCTGAACAAGTTACCTATCAAAACACCAGTTTATGTTTTTATATCATAGAAAAGATAGCTCGCTAAATGAAACAATAATATTTTAAATAAAATTACTAAGAGAAGGATCAGTGGAAATATGAAGGAATATTATATAAAGTGATTCCAGAATAACACATAATAGCTCAGTATTATGAAAAAAAAATCATTTCCCAGGAACCAAGAAATCTTTTCCATTAAACAACTTTGACACAACTTATGAAAAATCCAAATCCTCCAAAGATTATCTTCACAGTCCTTTAGAAGAAATTATTTTGAATAAACCCGAGTTTAAGGATGAATTTTGACTTTCTTGAAAAGCATTATTCTGAGCTAGCCTCTACCAGAATGCTGATCTGGCAGTGTCTGCAAGTCAAGGTCCCATTAAAAAATATATCATTTTGGTAGAGAATTTCACAAAAGCTACTCAATAGTCTTTTTTATGTAGAAGATTGAAATAAACTTCCCCAAATTAATTGGTCAAAATTATTTGTATTTCTTTTTCACAAGAAACATTTGAAGGCTATTTTTAAAATCTAGCAATAGCTTTACAGCAACTTTGTAAAGCCACTGATAGTTTTTATCTTTAAATTGTATTGTTAAAAATTCACAGATTTTGGTGACACAAATACAACTTAATTGTTGAACTCTGAAGATAACAAGTATTTACACAGCATAATTTGGATCTTGAGAAAAAAAAAACAAAACACTTTTTCTATGGTCATGTCTTCATGACCACTTTTTTCTAGTCTGTCAGCAAAGGGTTATTTGATAAATACAGAATCAGAGCTTTTCCTTAGAGTAATCATTTTTTCATGGAAGTTGTAATGGTAGATAGCCATGGCCTCTCCTGCAGTGAATCCAAGAACAGCTCACTACAGAAATTTTGCATCACCTAACAGCTGTTCAGTGTCAGATATGAAAAATGTCATTAAACTAATTCCTGTTGAAAATAAAAAGGGAAGGGAAGGGAAGGGAAGGGAAGGGAAGGGAAGGGAAGGGAAGGGAAGGGGAGGGAACTTGAAGCAGTGAATCCAAGAACAGCTCACTACAGAAATTTTGCATCACCTAACAGCTGTTCAGTGTCAGATATGAAAAATGTCATTAAACTAATTCCTGTTGAAAATAAAAAGGGAAGGGAAGGGAAGGGAAGGGAAGGGAAGGGAAGGGAAATGGCAGAGCTTTGTGGAAAGGTTTCAAAGAAATGCTCAGTTTGAACATCCTCTTCAATTTGATGTGAAAGTGAAAAGCCTCATACATTTGTGCAACAACCAGCATAAAAGAACACCAATTCCACCTAGAAACTACAGATGCCACTGTAATATAACCCCAAAATAACACTGATGGCTAAGGTCAAAGTATATCAAGCTCTGAAACACTACAGCATGCTGTGTAAGACTTTCTGTGGCAATCAAATCATGTGCTAGGGGCACTCATTTTACTCAGTAACATGATCTTGAAAAAGCCTAGAATCCAAAAATACTATTGTATAGACGAGAAAGAACACCACCACATAGGAAAGTAAATAGACAGCAACAGCACTTCTTTTTCCAACTGCTCTGCTAGCCAAGAGGTGACTTCTTATGCCAGCAGAACCAATAGAGCTGTACCCTGTAATTTTCAACACTAAAACATGACCTGGTCTTAATGGACGCTGTTTCATTGCTGATGAAGTTTGGATAAATTTAGCCTAAATTTATTCAGTACTGTTCATTTTGCTACTGCAGGTCAAAAATAGCACATGGTAACAAGAAATTGTGCATTCTTTGATCCAGTGTAACTGTTTACCCTCCCCTTAACCACAGTTGTGAGGTATTATTA